ATGTAACTAGGACCTGTGAATATCGTCTCGACTGCGGTTTATATGAAACCAATATCTACTCTTTTACATTTCATTCAAACCGCAGCTGCGTTTAACTTTTTTTACTCAAGTGTAAAACATAACAATACCTACATTTGCGACACTAGTGTAAATCGGTATTATATCTACTTAACTATTAATTCATTGTGACATATATCGTATCAGATTTGTATTCGATATTAAATAATTTAACAATGTTTGACATCTCTTCTAATTTACCAATGCGCTCAAAATGAAGGCGGGACAACAACAACAAAAAGAAAGCAATGTATTATATGAAATCATGCAATCGATAAAAAAGAACAAAGAGCAGATAAAAAAAGCAGAAAAAAAAATGTAAAAAATGCTGGACACCAAGACCTGACTTAGAGTGAAATATATATATATATATATATATATATATATATATATATATATATATATATATATATATATATATATATGAATATGAATATGAATTTGGTGCGAATATTACGAATGGGTGTTTCGTCAAAATGCAACTTAGTTGAGTGGCATAATTTAAATTCCTAGTTCCTCATTATGGTCTAATACTTTACTCAAGTAAATTTCGTTAATAACGGAAACAGAGAAACTCCTGTACTCCGCATAACACAACTTGTTTTTTTTAGTCGGGAGTGCTCTCATACAATACGACAAAGACAATCAATAAAAGAACCCGCAAAAAAGAACATTCTAAGATAGTTACAGTATATTCGATAAATATGGATTGTTCAAACATGGCTTCTTGGGGTAGGTGACGTCAATTCGTAAAAAGAATAGCACGCGAACGGTAAAAAGCGGGAAAAGGAGAGGCAATAAAAGGAAGCTGTTTAGAAGACAAAGGAAAAAAGAAAAAAAAGGAAACTGAGATAACAAAGAAAACACTGAAAATTATAGAGGGAAAAATCAGATAGAAAATCGAAAGCAAAAAAGAAGGAAATAATAGAAAAAAAGAAACAGTAGGAGAAAAAATAGGGAGAAGCAGAATCGATCAAAAAAGAGCAGCGAACAACACTTTACAAAGAATGTCAATTATATTCAATTTGCATTACTGCACACAATTAAATAAAAATTTTATTATCTTACCTCAGCTTCTGGCTACCTGTATCTTTTGTTGTATTATCTTAAGCGACGGTTCGTCTCTTCATTGGAAAATCCCGGCGGAAGTTGCGAGAAGCCTCGAAATCCAGTTTCAAGCGTGACGCTTTACTTTGCCATTTCGTTATCTGGTTTAATGTTGTTCAATATTTCCACAATTATTTATTTTTATTTGTATTTTATTTTACTTTTATTATGGTTTTATACAACACTCCGCATTTAAAGAAATGGATCGTGCGATTCCCGCTGAGGTAAATACAAACATCAGAACAATGTAGTCTCTTTCAGTTACGTATTTAAAATATCTGGCATAATGCAAGAAATATGGGCGTTTTAAATGATAAATGGTGCTAGAGCCCGGATGTTAATCTAGCAAATATTTACAGCTTTTGTTACTTCGCACCTTTAAAAGAACGCCCTATATGAGTTACTATCTGCCAGACCATGAGAATGGACTCTTAGATAAATATCTGTAGTGAATTCCAAATTAACTAATGCTAAATCAGACCCTTAGAGCAGGACATGTGAAACGTTTTTACTTCAAATACTAATGCTTCTCATCATTTCTAAATCAGACCAAAAAGCTTTCCACACAAAAATAGGTTGGGTAGGGGTTCAGGTTGAGACGTTTTCAGCATCACCTTTTGAGATTAGATTTTGACAAGTGGATGGCAATTTTTTTTAATCCTGTAAATTCTTCTACCAGAAATAGTCCAAGTTCAGGTATGATGGCTTCATTAAGCTGCCTGAAAATGATGAAAATGATCCAACAAAAGTAGCACATATGCGGATGAATCAATCTATGTACAAATATATATATATATATAATATATATATATATATATATATATATATATATATATATATATATATATATATATATATAGGTAGGTAGGTAGGTAGGTAATGAAAGTCTGGTTATCCGTATGGATATTCCCAAGAATGATGTAATCCAGAGAGCTCAATGTAAAACCAGAGCCATTATTAAGTCAATTTAATTAGAAAACAGACAACCTTAAGGGTCCAGTGGTGTATATATATATATATATATATATATATATATATATATATATATATATATATATATATATTAAATACATTTTTATGTTTAACATTCTTTTTTATAGATACAAGTATTTAAAAATAAAAATAAAAATGTCTTTAATAAATAAATTGTCGGACTTTGTCCATTTCTTAACATATATATATATATATATATGTGTGTGTGTGTGTATGTGTGTGTGTGTGTGTGCGCGCGTGTGTGTAAGTGCATTCCTTGCATTTATTTGGGAATATATATAAAGACATTGAGATATATTGTAGTTTCCTTATATGTTAATACATATAAACAAGTATAGATGTT